TTATTCTGATAATTAATTAACCCTTTGAAGCCGAAGCTCGTCTAAATAGCATTTAAGAATCCAGTCCGTACCGCGAAGAAAACACATCGCCTCACCATTACAAAGATCAATTGGTTAACGCTGTTTAAGGAAATAATCGCTGTTTAGATTAAGAATCGTTACGAAACCCACAAATACAAAATGCAGAGTTACTATCTGTTACAGAAGGTGGTACATATAGTTACCACTTGAGGTCAAGGTGGTTGTGCTCGTTAACAACGGTAGAAAATGATTTCACCGAGACGCAGTGTCAGAATAAAAACAGACTCAGAACGTTCTCCGCAATAAACTGGACATACCAGTTGATGAGGCATATAAAACAAGCAGACATGAATAGCCTATAATACATATTTCAAAGCTCAAACAAGTAACTTTAGGATAACAACGGTGATAAATACAGACAACCTTCACCGAGACATTAAGAGAACATTAAGTTAAGTTAATGCTCGGAAGATGTTTAGGCTTTTTACAACCAAAATCACGTAAACATTAATACACAGCCATCTACCAGGAGAGTCTGATCGATAAACGAACTTCGAAGCCGGTGCTTCTCACACACGTAGCACGCACCTGTGAGACGATAAATGCGTGGTTAGAAGACGTAGGAGTAGATGGCAGGGTGACATTAAGACTGCTATTGTGCGAAAGTCTGAAGTGGATTTTTTCACAACGAAAAAGGCTTCTGACAGAGCAAATCGTGCAACATCCTGGCAAAATATCCACGACAATCAGTGCCATTCCGTCTCTATTCCAAAACACTACAATAATTTTGGATATCGAAGGAAGACATTGAAATTAAGCAGGGAGTACGTCAGGGTGCAGTCTGTCTCTAACCTCATTCGACATCTACTTAGATGACGTCATCCGAGAAGTGGGACATGGTTAAAGGATTGTTGATTTATTTATTTAGTGTTCTGTCTGACGACAGGTCCATATGAACAGGATCCTTCCATCCTTTTCTCGGACTGGGGCAGGGCGCTCCTTTCGGAGCTCCTACGGGGGGTTTGGTCATGTTTGTAAAACGCAACCAACCATATACATGCAATTGTTCTCAACACTCACGAACTAACAAACAAACTCCTATTTGTTAAGTGCAGCTTGACAATAATTGCTACTACGAATCATAAAAGAAACGATGGCTTACGCGCTGTTCAAAAAAATATATACCCACCTCAAGTCGCTTGTGCGTAAAGGACTTAAGCAGCATCAATTACAACTGCGACATTTGATATAAAAAAGGTAAAGCTATCCTGTTACGCCTCATGTCGGCGATCAGGGGAGTGGAGGTTTAGCTCCTACTCATTCTCAACCTCGGTACTAGATGAGGGTGAGTGGTCAACATCACACCCTGTCCGCGCTTTATCCTATTTCTCCTTCTTTATCACGCCGTCTCTTTACAGGAGGTTGGCGACACTTTATGAACAGGATCCTTCCATCCTTTTTCTCGGACTGGGACCTGTTCATATGCGTTCTTGGCAGATGATCCAGAAGTGGTTTGCCATTGCCTTCTTCTGTGTGTGAATGGAGTAATTGTTGGGATGCCACGGAGGAAAACTCCGTGTTGCCTAGACCACGGCCTTGCCCAACACAAGTTATAAATTCGGGCACCGCCTGGAATCGAACCCGAGACCCCCAGGATTACAAGGCCAGCGTTCTAACCGCTAGACCACCGTGGCTGTTACATTGTTGATTACAGACGAGAAAATTATTGTTCAAGAAAGCGAAGATGAACTGCAAATATCACGCAAAAACTATAATTTGATAGATATCAATAAATAAAATTTCAACAATGGCTTTTAAAGGGGGGAATAAAGAGTTCGAAGAACAATTGTACTAGAAGATAAAACTTTTGAACAGGCCAACCACTTTAAACGTCTACGCTGTGACGTAACATTCCTGGAGGAATCAGACGTAGATAACGAGATTCCAAAATTCCAAAATGTGTGTGGCGCCACCAGGCGAACGCTTAAAGGAATTATTGTATTGTCTCATCTGCGTCCAGGTCTCACAAGTGATCTCTATTTTCCTCCCGACGTGATCATCCTACATAACCTCAGTAGTTGTGGCAACGTCGTGACGCGGCCTGATGAATTCTGAATGAACGCGTTAGGGTCGACCTTGGAAGAGTTTGCATGCGGAACGGATCTAGAGGTCTCACAGACCCAGGAGACCACACACCACAGCCGCTTCTGATGGTCCTGCAGAACCCTTGACATACCCCGCCGGAAACAACGGCGCGTTCCAATAAGATATGATCACTTGAAATGAATGTAACTTCGTGACCTACATACTTTACCGCATTCCTTTCCGTACAGTTCTTCAAATTTCGCCAAGACGTCGAGAAAGGAATGAAGAATTCGCACAGTCGCCATATTGCTTAATTCAATATTGTCCGCGCCAGCGATGCTCAAACTTTTCTGTACATCGATAAGGATACAAACCGATGACGTCATACTGCAAGCCTTTGAAACCGAAACAATATTTAAGAATTCAGTCCGTACCGCGAAGAAAACACAACGCCTCACCATTACGAAGATCAACTGGTTAACGCTGTTTAAGGAAATAATAGATTTTTATTCTGATAATTAATTAACCCTTCGAAGCCGAAGCTTGTCTAAATAGCATTTAAGAATCCGGTCCGTACCGCGAAGTAAACACATCGCCTCACCATTACAAAGATCAACTGGTTAACGCTGTTTAAGGAAATAATCGCTGTTTAATGCGGAAATCGTAAGAAACACACAAGTGCAAATTGCAGAGATACTGATTGTTAAAGCAGGTGGTACATATAGTTACCATTGGGCTTTAAAGTGTTAATACGTCGTCATAAAAAGAATCCTCACTTGAGACTGCGGTGTTCTTCAAGACTCAGATTGTCGCACGCGAGTTCGTTATAATTCTCAGAATAACCAGCACGACTCGAGGAGAAAGTCGGAAGGCAAGTCAGGGTTTGTGGGGGTTGAGTTGGGTATCTGGAGTCGGATACCCGGCCGGAGTTTGAGCCCTGAAAGGTGTCTTGTTCCTTTTATCTTATATTTAAATATTTCTTATTAAATAATATACTTCGATTATTCGAAGTAGATTCATTTGGTTTTCTTTTATTACTTTTCACCGCTTTACCCTCCCCAAGCCGTACCACCTCCCGGCCTGGGATGATAGTGGCCTCAGTAACGTAATCTGGCAATCTTCTCCTCCTCGGGGGGGTTCACAAGACAGCGGGCAAAATAATCTTTAGTGTTTTTGATAGTAACCAGGATGATAACAGCTTCTGAATTTCCAAAAACAAGCATTTCCTGAACGTGTTCTAACCTTAATTTCATCATGAACCTCATTTCTATTTGTTATTGTTGTTCCCAGATACTTCAATTTTGAAACATTTTCAAATGACGTGTTCCGCCGTTGTTGCTGAAGTTGATCGCCCACGTCTTCAGTTTTGTCTGCATTTACGTCTAGGTCCATTTCTCTGTTGGCCTCTAGGAGAGTTTCTGCATTCTTAGTTATGGTACCCAACCAGCCCCCCCCCTGCAAATCGACTTCATCCGCAAAGGCAAGCAAGTACCTGGTGCAGACCATCTAATTCGAGCCCTTCCTCATCTCCTCTGACCTTCACGGAATTAACAGCTTCACTTCAGAGGGTTGACAGAGAACATTCCACCTGCCTCTAATAGCGTAGCGAACAACAGAATTTACAGAATCTAGGTTTTGCCAACAATCGTCCATTTTCGTGAACCAGAGCTCGGAGTCCCACGCAACAAAACAGAGGACATACGCGTGTTTATCCCTGAAACAATTTAACTCCACTGCGATTCTTTGAGACCATCAAATACAAAAGTTTTATTAACTGCAATAAACTATCAAAGAAGTTCTCATTTTCTAGATGACAATCCCAAACAATAATCAAATCGAGTTTGTGTCTAGAATTTGGAAACATCTGAGTCTTCAAAATGAAGTTGTGTCAGTCACATTGTTGCTTTCAATTTAATTGTTATCAACAATGGTTTATGACACGACAAAAGCTTCAAAACGTGACACGTGACACACGTCTAATCTGAAAATCAATTAAACAATTTGCACGCCGCCATGTTGGAAATGAAGTGGAGTTGTCTCTAGTAATACAACGCTCATTCCGAGTTACGTGAACATCTCTCAACTGGTTCTGAGGTTATCAGGGAGACTGACGATAATGTCACATCTAGTGCACATGCGCAGTGAACGTTTTGGTTCGTGATGTTACTAAATCCTGCGCAGAAGACGCAGGTAGCAGCTGCTATTTCACCAGTGACCTTGGGGACGCTTGCTTATTCATTATAGAGCGATAAGTTTCATGGGTTTTCATGCACAACACTTTTATTCTCGTGATAATGAAGACAGTTATTCGCATTCGGGTGAAATTAATAGCTTCGTTTAGTTTGCAGAGTCAATAAACAAACAGCCACATATTTCTAGAACGTTTATAAAACACAGAAAACTGTACAGTCTACTGCTAACATAAAAATTGTAATTCTGAATGCCATTAAAATATTTTCCGACAAAAGGTCAGATGTCAGATGTAGTCAACACGTGGCCTACAATGTGTCACTCCGCGAAACGGGGAAAAAAAAACTACCTGATAAATTATACATCGTGTTTAATTTTATGTTAATAATAAACACATTAAAGCCCAGTGGTAACTATACGAACCACCGGTGACTTAACTTTGTATTTATGGGTTTCGAATGATTATCGGAGTAAATATCGATTATTTCCTTAAACAGCGTTAACCAGTTGATCTTTGTAACGGTGAAGAGTTGTGTTTACTTCGCGGTACGGACTGGATTCTTAAATGTTATTAAGACGAGCTTCGGCTTCGAAGGGTTAATTAATTATCAGAATAAACAGCGATTAATTCCTTAAACAGCGTTAACCAGTTGATCTTTGTAACGGTGAAGCGTTGTGTTTACTTCGCGGTACGGACTGGATTCTTAAATGCTATTTAGACGAGCTTCGGCTTTAAAAAGTTAATTGATATAAATAAATTAATAATGTAAAATTATGGAGTACCAAGTGCATAATGAAAGTTTCATTCTGCCTCAAGATTAATAACCCTAAGTGATTTAAACTCACAGACAGCTTAAATATTCTGATATTTTAACAAACGACTTACGAAACAGTCAAATTACTTATCTATTATTTTTGAGCACGTAAAGAGATCCACCTGAAGATGACCAAATAAGGTCGAAACATGTAGTCGAACTTAATAAACACTGAGACTATAATAAAAAAAATCGATGTGTCGACGGACTGTTAATCTGAAAATTAACATTCAACAGGATACATCCCTCAAAAATAAATATTTTTGCATCTTAGTAACAGAAAGCATAATTTTTAATAAACTCTCAGGAATGTTCGATATACAGTCTTTAACTTGCCCCGACAGTCGATAACAAAGAACATGGCAGCGTGTCCTAACAGCTGTTTTAAACAATCCCTAGCAACTGCCGATCGTAAACATTTATGGGATTTATTTGTGTACATAAAACCAAGCCTTCTAGAGTAATAAGCTCTTTTAAGTACGGCATCACGCACCTTATTGCACGATGCTTTACCAATTTCCAGTGTTTTGATTTTAGTAACAACAGATAAATGCAGTGAAAGTAACTGTCCAGTTCAAACGAGGAACTCCATTTATACATGATTCAAGGTAACTGTTGTTTATTGTCTCTGCTGGTTTCATTCTGTTATGCCAAAGGACGCTGTCCCAACTTATTTCTACGATACCTCGAACACAGAATTCTTCGCTAAACAATGCAGTTCAACCCACCCATCAAAACACGTTCTATTAACATAAGCGTCCCCCTTTCTCTGTTTTGGTCTGTAAAGTTGTCGCTTTCCGTATGTTCCATGGTAAAATTCGGGGTGTGGTTTGGTGTTCCGAGGGCCACATTTTTGTGCTATCAATGTGTCGCCAACAGACTACGTTACGAATCATTCAACACGAATATTATGGCAACTCTGGTCCTGACCTAACCTAACTTCAGGGACTAGAACAATTTCAAATAAATAAACTTGCCTGCAGTGACTTACTTCTGGACCACATTCTGCATGCAATTCATGTTTCTTAGTTAAAAGCTGTTCCCAACATAATTTATTCAAATTTGCAATGGCATAAAAGGACGGATCAGTACGTTAGTATAAAACCTAATTACATTAAATTCTTTAAACTACATAAAAGCGAACAATTTCCTTGAAGCAACGTTTCTAAACAACAAAAGTTTACTCACGGTTGTCAGGCAACTTCGCAGGAGTTGGTCTCACTAGCTGTTGTTTCACGAGATGACGGAACACAACTGAGGCGTGCTGAAAGCGGTTAGCATAAGTTATGACGTCACTGCTCCACGAGGATCGAGGTCAGACCTTCAGACCTTGGACGACGGTCGGGGTCGGCCACAATCCTCAGAAATCAGGACTTCCTACATGGGTGAACGCCCATCGCATTACCTCTCCCTGGAAAATAGGAAGACGCCAAGACTTGAAGTCGGGATATTGCAGTGTCTGGCCTGTCAAATACCGTGCACAGGTTTGCGTATTTTTAATCTTTCAAATGTTGGCACGTTTTCGGGAAGAGGTGCACCAACCCCCTGAACTCGATGGGACAAATGCACCATATAAGAGTAGACGAACAATACGAACTGTTTACACTGTTCAGTTTTTGTTTCATGAGGGGGTCCACCAATCATCCCTAGGCTTGGCCTTGAAGCCAGGAATTATTATTAGAATGGCGGAAACTCTTAATGGTGTTAGGTTAGGTGTACACTTTTGCACTACACTGAAATTCCAAACATGTACTTTGTACCACATCACAAATCATGACAACAGCAACACAACCTAACCTAAAATGATATTCAAGGTCACTGTCACATGACGAACAAGCATCAAGTCTCACCTCCAGGGATGCTGT